TGTGGTCAATGACATGAGCAAAGTATATGTGAACTGCTGTATGGAAAGTGAATTCGCTCTGTAAATCTTCACCCAAATCACAATAAATAAAATAAATTTTTTTTTTAAAAAAAAGAAAGGGTACAACCCTGAAAAAAAAAAAAAAAAAGATTTACAGCCTTGGAAGTCCTATGGGGGGTGCTATGAATTGGAATCTACTTGATGGCAGTGGGGTTGGTTTAGTTTTCATTATGGATCATACCTCAACATAAAACAAAAATCCTCACAACTGGACCAATAAGCAACATTATGTTAAATGGGGAAAAGATTGAAGTTGTCCAGCATATCAGTTTACTTGGATCCACAAACACTCATGGAAGCAGCAGTCAAAATAGCAAATGATGTATTGCACTGGGCAAATCTGCAGAAGACCTCTTGAAAGTGTTAAATAGCAAAGATGTCACTTTGAAGAATAAGGTACACTTAAGGTATTTTCAAGGAGATCTGGTGGTGTAGTGCCTAAGGCATTTGACTGCTAACCAGAAGGCTGGCAGTTCAAACGCACCAGTTACTCCTCAGAAGGAAGGTTGGGCAATCTACGTCCATAGTGATTCTGCCTCAGAAACCCAAGGAAGGGTTGCTATGAGTAGGATCCAATTCGACGGCAGTGCGTAAGGTATTTTCAGTTGCCTAAGGTGCATGAGGAGCTCTGGTAGCATAGTGGCTAAAGCACTTGACTGCTAACCAGAAGGCTGGCGGTTCAAACCCACCAGCCACTCCTCGGAAGGAAGGTTGGGCAATCCTACTTCCGTAGTGATACTGCCTCGGAAACCCAAGGAGGGGTCGCTATGAGTCAGGGCTGACTCGATGGCACACAACAACAACAACAACAAAGGTGCATGTGAAAGTTGGACAATGAATAAGGAAGACCAAAGAATTAATGCCCTTGAATTATGGTGTTGGTAAAGAGTACTGAATACACTGTATTGCTAAAAGAACAAACAAATCTGTCTTGGAGGAAGTACAGTCAGAATATTCCTTGGAAGTCAGCATGGCGAGACTTCTTCCATACTTTGGACATGTTATCAGGAGGTTCCAGTCCCAACAGGAATTATCTTTTCTTTATTTACTCCCAGCTGTGCTCTGGCCTCCAGCTAGCCTCTCCTCAGGATGACAGGACAGTAGACATGTTCTATCGGGCACATCCTGCTCTCTCTGTCTGAAATGCTTTACCCTTTGCTCAAATAAGTTTCAATCTTAGTCAAATTCTTCAGCAAAGTCTTCTCTGAACTCCCAGTTATGTTTACAGAGCATTATGAAACTTAGTTGAAATGTTACATTTATTTGTATAATTATTTGGTCACTGTTTTCCCCATTAGACTATAAGATCCATATATCTCTTTGTAGTTGCCAATAGCCTGTCTTACAGTACTTGGCATAAAGTAGGTATTCAATAAAACTAGTTGAATACATTATTTTAAATACTATGTAGAAAGAAGCCCAGCCCCAAAGACCACATGTATTGTATTTATATGAAATGTACAGAAAGGTAGTGGTTGCCTGGAACTGGAAGTGGGATTCAGGGTTAACTATGAAATGGCATGAGGGATCTTACTGGAGTGATGAAAATGTTCCAAAACTGGATTATAATGAGGTTGCACAACCCAGTAAATTTGCCAAAACCCATTCAATTATATATTTAAGACAGGTAAATTTTATTTATATTTGCTTGCTGAAAGTGAGGATGACTTAAGGCACCTACTGATGAAGGTTGAAGAATACAGTCTGCAGTATGGATTATGTCTCAATATAAAAAAAAACAAAAATCCTCACAACTGGACCAATGAGGAGCATCACAATCAATGGAGAGAACATTGAGGTTGTCAAAGAATTCACATTGCTTGGGTCTACAATCGATGCCAACGGAAGCAGCAGTCAGGACATTAGACAACGTGTAGCATTGGGAAAGTCAACTGCGAAGGAACTGTATCAAGTGCTGAGGAGCAAGGATATCTCCTTGAGGACTAAGGTGCGCCTTACACAAGCCATGATATTTCCAATCGCCTTGTATGCATGTGAGAGCTGGACAATGAATAAGGAAGACCGAAGAAGAGTTGATGCTTTTGAGTTGTGGTGCTGGCGGAGAATGCTGAAAGTACCATGGACAGCTAAAAGAACTAACAGATCTGTCCTGGAGGAAGTGCAGCCAGAATGCTCCTTGGAAGCAAGAATGACCAGACTTCGTCTCACCTATTTCGGTCATGTTGTAAGAAGGGACCATTCCCTGGAGAAGGATGTCATGCTTGGTAGGGTGGAGGGTCCACGAAAGAGGGGGAGGCCTTCAATGAGATGGATTGACACAGTGGCTGCGATGATGGGCTCAAGTATAGCAGGGATTGTGGGGCTGGTGCGGGATCGGGCAGTGTTTCGTTCTGCTGTGCATGGGGTCGCTATGAGTCGGAAATGACGGCACTTAACAACAACAACAACAACAAATTTTATGGCATGTAAACTATTTCAGTACAATTGTTTTAAAACTTTAAAAATATATTAGTTGAAGAAGTGAAGAATACAATTATTATTAGAAATGCCACCTTTATCTCAGGCTAACCATGTATACATGTTTCTAGACTTTGCATTCTGTACCACTTATCCTGTACCACCCTTTATCACTTTAATACCTAGCAGTACATGTCACCCTTCATTAGTATTCTTTCAAATATATCCTGGATTCTTCTTACTCCTTAATTTAAATAATTAGGCTTGGTATCTTGCAGAATTCCAGGTGTTTCTGTATACCTTTGGGTGTTAAACAGAAATAGGTACAAGGAACTCTCCTTGTGGCATATACCAGATGAAATCAGATTTGGGATTTCCAGAGAGCACAAATGCTAGGGGTTATCAAATGTCAATATACATAAGGACGTTTGTAACAGAGCTAGATATTTTATGATTGATCTGGATTTATGCAATTTCAAAAATGAGAACCAATAATTTTAGTCCAAATGTCCCTAGAAACAGGACCCAGTACTTCTCTAATAGTTCTGTGACCCTACTGAACTCTTCTGGGAAGATTTGTCTGCATTTTTGTTTTGGTTCACTTGGAAGTTGAAATCAGAAATAAGGATGTTACAGCAGGGAGATTATTTAGGAGGAAGCAACAGCAAGGGGTGGGGAGAATGTGACAGGGAATTAAAAATGCTAATAAAAGGTAGGTTACCGTGGTGGGCACCCAAGCTCACGGGGCTCAATTCTGGCTGATGAACCAAACAGAGTAAGTCTAAGAACTGTCCTGCTGAGGGCCCAGAGCATTTATCAGCTGCCCCCTGCCCCCTTTGATTGAGGGTTGTCCTGGAGGCATTAACTGCCAGGTTCCTAGGCCAGGGCTGAAGGGACTTCGAGGGCTTTGGAAAAGGCCCAAAGCAGAAAAGGAGAATGTGGGACATGCTTCAAGTGGGACTTCACAGTCTGCCTTGTCTACCCTATAGCTGTGCTGAAATCAAGGGGTGTGACTGGGGGCTGTATCTGTCAAGAGGACAAAGCACATCTTTCAAATGAAACGCCATAGACAACTGGACATCTGATGACATAACACAAGTTCCAGTGAAATTTCATATAAACAGCAGTTTTTTATTAGTGAAACATTTCATTTGCATTAACTGTAGAAATAAGCATGTGAAGAAGCACATGAAATTAACCAATTGTATAAACTACATGAAGAGCATTCTGTTCAGTGTTCTTTCTACTCCAAGAGAGTAACAAGCACTTTACTCCAGTAATGCCTAGAGCATCAAGTATGAGTCATCTTGCAGAACTCATACCTCAATTAAAATTTTTAAAAATTAGCCTCCCTTAAATAAAAACCCCAATATAGGTTAGTTGTGTAGTACTTGTTTGACTTGAGGATTAGTTATTTTTCTAGAACATGAGATAAAGTCTAGTGTGAAAATCCTGGAGCTAAAAGTGACAAAGCCCTTTTCTTGTTCTGTGCCTAACTCCCAATTTTCCCTGAGAGAAAAGTATTAACCTCTCTCTCTCTTAGTTTCTCCCTCCCTAAGTTGAGTATGTAACACTGGATGCTTGTGTTCTGTGACCATGACAATGCTGACAATCAAGAAGCCTTTCAGGGTCTTTCCACAATAATGGCTACAAGAGGGAGCATGAGGAGTAGTTTGTTATTTTCAACCCAAAGCGAAACAGTTACATTCTTAACCAATTTATAATTCCGAGTGAAGTTTATGAGTTTGCCACAGGCTTCTTAAAGGAAAATATGAAATGTGATTTTAAGCCAAGTAACCATTACGAAACACATATGGAAATAAGCAATATGTTTTTGATCAGAGGTAAAAGAAAAAAAAAGCCCTCAGGGGCTTATCACTATCAACTCATGGGTCTCTCTATCACTCTACCCCTCAATTCACCCCGCCCCACCCCTTCCCCACTAGATTCCTATGCAGTATAAAAGTAATCCGAAGACTGAGTTATTTTCCTGGAGGAATTCTGAGCATAAAATGTGTTATGTAACTTAAAAAGATGAAATCAGATGCATTTGAATAATGTATTGACTGAGGCTTTTTACCCTGGATTCCAAGCTCTATTTACTTTGGGGAGTGAAATGAATGGAGGGATACAACATAAAATGGTACATATGTATTCTTAGCACAGAGTTTGGTGAATGACGCATACAGAATAAAGTTAGACCAAGTAGCATTAACAAGTGACACAGAGACATTATAACCACAACAGTGGTCACAAAATTCTGGAGCTACCAGCACCCACCAACAACAAAAAAAATTATAAGTCTTTATATTAAATACTTGCTAGACACATGAAAAACAAAACAGTTTGTCAGGGACCACATGATTTTATAAAGCATAATGGCCAACCATGTCAGCCTGTTCTTTAACCTGCTGGCCAGAATGTTCTCATCACTTGCCAACACTGGTTCCTCTCCCTCTTCTCTACAACAGGTAACAAGCCTGTACAGATGCTGAGGATTTCCTCATGATGTGGGACAGGTCAGGACAGCTCACAATTCCTTCACCAAGCTCACATGATGGTTAGGTTCGTATGAGGGGTGCTCTCTCATCTGCTGTTCCCTGAAACACAGAAAAGATGGGACAAGGAAGTTAGGTGTTCATGTCAGAAACTTCTCTCTGGATGTGAAAACTTACATGGTGGGGGAAGGGGGAGGTGGAAAGAGAAGAACCTGATAAGACAGTGTGTCCCCTGCACTTCTGTCCTCTTTTGGCCTGTCTCTTCTTGTTCTTTATTTAAGATGCAGACCTAACCTCAAGAAGGCCTTCCCTGACCACCTGCAACCTCAACATTAGAGTCTATCCTCTGTGTTGCCAGAACTATAACACTTATCACATTCTACTGAATTTGCCTCCTGAATGCCTCCAATCCTATTAGACAACTGTGTCTGCAAGATGGTAGGTGCCCAATAAGTGCTTGCTTATTGAATACATGAATAGGGTTAGCTATAGCAGCAGTAAAACATTTACAGAAGGGTTTTTCTGGGCTTATGAAAATCTCAGTGGCTGTTTAAAGTCATACTGCAAGAGCTACAGATCGAAATGGCAAAATAATTCATCTCACAGCTAATTCCAGCTAAAGTGACTGGCATGGGTAAGAAACATGATGGAAGGTAGGAAAATCTGAGCAAACATTACTCAGTTGATTTCAAGCTATTTCATTTTCTACTTCACATTCACCTCACACTTAGTTGAGGTGGCTAGGAAAAAAGAAGTATTTGTTGACAGAAAGGGAAGCTGCTGAGAATTTAAGAAAGGCTTTGTTCTGGTCACCTAGTACCACTCTGACAAGAATATACCACAAATGGGATGCCTTGAAGAAACAGGAGTTTATTTTCTTACAGTTTGGAGGCTTTAAGTCCAAGTTCAAAGTACCAGGCTCTAGGGGGGCTGGGTGAAAGCCCATCAACCTTGGCTTTCACCTCTGCCTCCTGCTCCTGGCCCACTGAAGCTGGAGGCTTTTCTTCACTCAGCTGCTGGCTGCTGAGGCTGACAAGCCCAAGGTTGACAAGTAAAAACGTACAGTCCCGATATTACCAAACCACATGGCAGGCCATTAATTCAAGTCTACTGAAAGTCCCCAGGTTGGCAGAGCATGGCAGGCTGCTGAACAGCAACATGGCTACACGCAGGGTTCAAGCACGCCATAGCTAGAGACTATTCCCAAAGCTGTTTCTTATATACTGGAAGCAGACCATGTACCCAAAGCAGCTACTCAGCTGCTCCAATAGATTCCACCATGGAGTTAATTACCAATCTCATCATAGGGGAATACTACATCCAGCTGCCCAGCCAAGTTGACACACAAATTTAACCACCACAGGGTTCTAAAGAAAAGACTCACTGAAGGTCTTGAGGTAGCCTGCTGGTCACATAAGAAGGCCAGCCTAACTGCTTCTCCCATCCATTTGGGGTTGTTCCTATTTCTCCAGAAAAATAATGACTCCCATGCTCCAGGCATTTATTGTGCAATAATGACAATAGTGGGTATCTTCTGATATTGCAGAAATTCTTTTCAGGCATGTCTTTAGTTACCTTGCTTTGTAATCTTGGAGCTATTTTATCATATTTAATAATAATAACTAGTTACTGACACTAGTTACTATTAAACATGATAAAATACTGGTTAAAGTATTCAGCTGCTAACCAGAAGGTTGGCAGTTTGAACCCACCTGCTGCTCCACAAGAGAAACATGAGGCAATATACTTCTATAAAGTTTACAGCCTTGGAAACCATATGGGATTGCTCTGAGTTGGAATTGACGCATTGGCAGTAGGTTTATTAAGCTCTTCGTATATGCTAACACTGGGTTGAGTGCTTTATGTATAGTATAGTACATCATCAGCTCTTCATAAAAAAACTTGTAAGGTAGGCTCTGTTATTACTTCTCATTTTACAGATAAAGAAACTGAGGGTCACACAACTATTAAGTGGCAGACTAGGGATTTTAACACAAGCACTGTGACACCAAAACCCAGCTGCTTAACTGGTGTACTTCCTCCTCTTTCAGGTTATTCTTTCCACAGACATAAAGATTACTCCCAGATAATACATCCAGAGATTTCATTCCCTTCAAGAGACCCCCAAAAACTATATGGGACCACTCTATTACCCTGCCTTCTGTGACATACTTCCTTTGCTTCCTATTTGGTGCAGTAATAGTATACCCAACCAGGAAATTATTATGCCCATCATAAAAACCCAGAATCCTTCCTGAAGAGCCAGTTGACAGCCCTTTGATAAGGAATCTTCCAGTAAAGTTAATGAGCAAGGGTGAAATTCTTTCAGTCACTACTCACCTCATCCATGGATCCCTGTCCTTTGCACGCAAGCCTGGTAAAGATCAAACCAAAGAACACACCCAGTGCCATGATGATGTAGGGTATATTGGTGATGATCAAAGTAGTGTTAATCACAGACTTCAGACGATTTGCAGTCTCATTATCAATGAGAACACTCTAAAGAGGGAAAAAATATTAAGCCCTTGATTATTAAATATTTAGGTATAATGTTTCTTCTGTGTCTTCCCAATCATTAAACATAATTTGGGGCTGTCCTGTTAGCAAACCAGATATACTGAAAATCTATTATGAATTAGAGTAAGCAGATGAGGCATTTATTCATTAACATCTACTCTTTTCTCCTGAAGACAATTTTTTTTTTTTCCTCTCAAAATAGATTGGGGAAATGAAGGGAAAAATCTCAAATTCTGAAAGTTTCTCTTTTGTTTTCTGTCAGACAACTCCAACTCATCTTTCAAAATCCAGCATGGTATAACTTCTTTTCAGAAGTTTTCTCTGGCCACGTCAGGTCTGGTTAAAGACCCCTTCTCCTCCATCGCTGTCCTCACACTCCACATTATAATAGTCTGTTTACCTGTGGGGTTTTCCCCAGCTGTGAGATCTCTGAAGGCAAGGTTGAGGACTTTTATCTCAAGAACCTCAATGCTGGGTCTACCACCCAGGACACAGTGAGTGCTCAATAAAAGTTGGTTGAGTAATCAGGACCAGAGATCTTGACAGAAAATGTTCAGGAAAGTTATGAGGCTAACTAGACTTCCAGAAGGTATTGGTAACTAAAGAAATACACTAGAATAACACTTCCTATACTCCGTGTCACGGGCAAGGTATCTGTAGAGCTCAATCTTATAAAAATTTTGAGCACCAAGAGACATTTGGCCTACTTCAGACTTTAAGAGTCTCTAGGTGACACAAATGGTTAAGCTCTGGACTACTAGCCAAAAGGTTGGCAGTTCAAATCCACCCAGAGGTACCTTGAAAGACAGTCCTGGCAATCTGTTTCCAAAAGGTCCTATGAGTCAGAATCTACTCAAATCAGTATTTCTACTAACTGGCCAAGGCTCCTCTGCCAGAGTTTTCTCCTCCATAAAAAGGGGCATGGGGAGCAGGCAGTCTCCAAGTCCTTCTAGGTCTAACATATTTTATGTTTCTAGGGAAGGGAAAAGTTAAGTTCTTTCTAGAAGGCAGCAAAAGCAAAAAAGAAAAAAAAAATACAAGGTTTCACTCCATCATTTCTAGAAGTCAATCTAGTCTTTATTGAAAAAGACAGCAAAACTTAGGGATTGAGGGAACTTCGAATATTGCCATTACTATGGAGCTCTGGTGGTGCAGAGCCTAAGGCATTTTGACTGCTAACCAGAAAGTTGACAGTTCAAACCCACCAGCCACTCTGCAGAAGGAAGACTGGGCAATCTACTTCTGTAAAGATTTACCGCCTTGGAAACCCAAAGGAGGTCACTATGAGTCGGAATCGACTTGATGGCAGTGAGTTTGAGTTTTTTTATGAACATACACTGACAGAACCGTGTCCTTTTGCCTTTTCAAAAAGCCCCAACTTTCATGCCCTTTCCCATAGACAGTAATAAGGATGACCCAGGTGCAACTATAAATTGTTGTTGTTGTTGTTGTGTGCTGTCGAGTCAGCCCTGACTCATAGCGACCCCTCCTTGGGTTTCCGAAGCAGTATCACTACGGAAGTAGGATTGCCCAACTTTCCTTCCGAGGAGTGGCTGGTGGGTTTGAACCGCCAGCCTTCTGGTTAGCAGTCAAGTGCCTTAGCCACTATGCTACCAGAGCTCCCGCAACTATAAATAGGTCTTATGAATTGACAAATAATGCCTGAATTTTTCCTATGAAATAATTAAAGGCCAGTCTTGGAGTTGTTAATCACAAAACCTTCAAAAGTTTATAAATGTAGCTGTCAGTATAATGGCAAATGGAAAAGAAAAATATAAAATTGTATCTACAGTATGACATCAACTACAAAATATCACATCAGAAAAATACTAAGAGACAACACATGAAGGTGTCAACTGTGTGTGTTTCTAAAGGATAGGCTTCTTAGTAATTTTTTAAAAAAAATTACCAAGAATTCTATAAAGAGTACAAGTTAGTTTTATGGGAAGAAAACATTATATTTCTTAAAATTTTTTATTTTGTTGCTGAGAATATACACAGCAAAACATACACCAATTCAACCATTTCTACATGTAAAATTCAGTTACACTAATTACATTCTGTGTATTATGCAATCATTCTCATCCTCCTTTTCTTAGTTTTTCCTGCCATCCCCCAGTAACATAAACTCAAGTGGCTGTTGTCACTTTGATTCTGTATAAACCCACTGCCACTGAGTTAATTTCAACTCAGCAACCTTATAGGACAGAGCAGAACTGCCTTCATAGGGTTCCCAAGGCTATAAATCTTTACAAGACCAGACTCACATCTTTCTCCCATGGAGTGGCTAGTAGGTTTGAACTGACGACCTTTTTGTCAGCAGAGGAGCACTTTAACCGCTGTGCCATCAGGGCACCCTTGATCCCTGTTCTGGTTACCTAGTGCTGCTCTGACAAGAACATACCACAAATGCGATGGCCTTAACAAACAGGAGTTTATTCTCTCACAGTTTGGAGGCTTTAAGT